CGAGTGCCAGGGGAAGAGCAAAGGCAGCACTGGAAAGCACCAGCTGGATGAGCTGCTCCGAGGAAATAAGGGGCAGTGACCAAAGCCCAGCTTTGCTGCAGCACTGAAATCCCAGCAGGAAAGGGGAACACTGGGGTACTGGGAAGATCAGGGGACCCTACAGTACCTGTCAGCCCAGGGAGAATCCAGTAATTCTGCTGCGGAGCCAAAAACCACGTCGAACCCCCTCCTCGGGTGCCAAGCCACGAGAACTTGGCAAGAGAACTTTACACCAACCAGAAACAAACCATAATTACGACTGAAGCTTCTCAAGCTCCACCTAAACACAAAGAATCAGTATAAAAGTAAGTTGGGGAGAGGGGGGAAACTGAGGAAGGCTCCACCAAACCTGCTGGGATCAGTTGAGGGGTTGAACCTGCCTCCCAGGACGCCTGTGGGGTAAGAAATACACTCTGCAGGTTAAAGAAATACACTCTTCTGCTTTAAGGACTGGAGCTTTGTTTGGGCTCCCCCCAGAGTATGTTGGCAGATTGCTTCGTGTTCCACCTTGGCCTTGCTTCGTAGGGCCGTAGATTGCTTTAAAACATGCTTTTGCAGCCAACGACCACGAACCTTATTAACCTGTGCCCGTGCCTGCTAATAAAGAGTGTTATTGCAGGAACTGGCAGAGGGAGTCCTTTCAGTTGCCGGCAGCAGATACCACCTGGGCAGGGGCAGGGCCCGCTGAGGGCAGGGCTGTAACTCCTGCTCTTGAGGGACCCTGCGTGTGTCCAGGGCAGCCGTCCCTGCTCAGGGCCTGGGCCTGCTGCACTCCCCTCCAACTCTCAGCCCCACCACGAGCTGCTCTTGCCCCTGGCCTGGCTGTGGAGCAGAAGCCTCTGCGATGCCCCCCGTGGAGAATCCCGTGTCCCAGCAGCCCCCTCACGGCCCCGTATTCTGCAGACACAACGCGGCGCTGCTTTTGCCCTGGTGGTGTCCCCCGTTAGTCGCGAAGCGCTGCAGCCGCTCACGGCGTGTCCGCCGCTGATCCCAAGCGCTGCAGCCGCTCACGGCGTGTCCGCCGCTGATCCCAAGCGCTGCAGCCGCTCACGGCTGTCCCAGCAGCCGCTGTTCCGGAGCAGAGCGCAGCCCGGCCCGGCCCAGCCCCGCTGCCCGCACTGCCCGGGGCCGCTGCGCGCCGGGGCTCCCCCCGCTCCCCGCGGCCCGGCCCGGCCCCCGCTGGACGCTTCC